ATTTAGGAACTAGAGGAAAGTTGTTTCATTATTGCTACACTGCACCCTGACTGGCTCATCTCCTCCCTGCAACCCTTCTGTAAGAGGATGTCCAGTTGCCTGCAGATGGGCTTTGGGTCCCCAATCTTCACTCTTTCACAATGCTAATCTTCTTTGTTCTTTGATGCCTGATACCCGATCCCTTGAACACCTCCTGGTCACACAGGCTGGTGTGCTTCTTCTATTCGGGCTTTGTTGCTTCTGAGTTAGATGGCCACTTGTTTACCTTCAAGCCTTAAAATTTCGTTATTAAAAATAAGTTCTAACAGGAAATTTAGAAAAGACATGGAATCACTTGGCTGTAAAAAATGACCGGCCACGCCTCCCAGCGGAGGACCTGCAAAGCCAGACCCAGAGCCTGGCAGCCTCTTCTGCTTCTCCAGCTGCTGCTCGGAGCTCGTGCAGCGTCTCTGGCCTCAGGACTCCCCGTGTGCATGTCAAGGGCCCTGAGGTGCCTGTGTGAACCCGAAGCTGCTTTTACCTTTCATAAAACTCACTTGGATCACAAAAAAGAAAAGAAAAAAATGACCACTTTTTTACCATCTCTGAACCTTTTCTTTGTGATAGTGAGAAAAATAAACCCAACAAACAAACATGTTGAGCATTAATTCTCCAAACTCTGGCCCAGATGTGTTCATGATTGCACCAGCTGTTGTTCTTTGAAGTGTTGATCTAAACAGTAAAGTAGAGGCTACGCCCAAGAGTGCCATGGACTGGGTTCGCAATAGTTGCAAGAGGTACTGCAGAGCCCTAATTTATTTGCAGACTACAGTCGATTACGGACTACATAGTTTTAAACTGAGTTTGTAGGGTTTGCTCCCATAACCTCCCCCAGTTTTTGTTTCTTCATTTTGAGTCAATGCTGGAGTTAGAGGTCAAAGCATTTCTTGTCACAAGAAGTGTACACAGATGATGCACTTTTGGAATCTTCACCTATCTGAGAATATAAACACTGGGAATTGCCCGTGGCTTCACTTATTGGACATCTGGTTGGTAGTTGGATCTCGTCTTGGATCTGAAGTGGAAAAGCAGACTAGATTTACACAGCTCTAGCCTAATTCCTAGTAGTCTATTAGGTTTTACCTAGCAATGCTCACCAGACTGGTACCATCTCTGCAGTCAATACCTGTACTATCATTACTCTTCCCTTCTTGGGCCCTCTCATTTTGCCAGTTTTCCAGAAATTTCCATTTCTGCAAAGATGTAGAAGTCTTGATGGTAAAAAGTGGGCATTCTCAATTTGGGCATATTTGATTTTGAAATAAATAATCCCGTGTTTTGAGGGACTGTCCTGTGCATCGTGTTAGCAGCATCCCTGACATCTGCCGAAGTGGAAACCAGAAAGGCCTTCAGATGTTGGGGAATGACCTGAAGCAAAGGGGTGGGCCCAGCACTCTACCTGACTCAAAAGGGGACTACTGCACTTAAAGTATGACGTCCCATTTTCTGATCGATCTGTTATAGTTGTTGGGGCCATTGAGTCTGTTTTGGCCCATAGCAACTCTTCACAACAGAATAGAACCTGGCCCAGCCTGAGCCGGTGTCACAGGACTGTTCCTCTGCCTGAGCCCATTGTTGCAGCCACACTGTCAATCCATCTTCTTGAGGGCCTTCTTTATCGCCATCCCCTTGCCTTAGCACGATGCCCTTCTCCATGATGGGTCTCTCGACAACATGTCCAAAGTATGTAAGACGAACTCTTGCCATCCTTGCTTCCAAGGAGCACTCTGGCCTTACTTCTTCCAAGACAGAGTGTTTGTCCTTTTGGTAGTCCATGGTAATCAACATTCTTCACCAGCACCGCAATTCAAACACCAGTGCTTCTTGGGTCTTCCTTGGTCAGTGTCCAACTTCCACGTGCATCTGAGACCGTTGAGAATGCCAGGGCTTGGGCCAGGTGCACCTTAGTCTTCAAAGTAACGTCCGTGTTTTTCAACATCCTAAAGAGGTCTTGTGCAGCAGATTTACATAGGAACAATTGTAAAGATGGGGCAGGACTGGGCAGTGTTTCCTTCTGTCGAGCTAAGATCGCTATGGAACAGAACCAACTCAATGGCACCTATCAACAACACTCCTTCTTTTTAAACAGTTATTTAGCATATCATTTATACAGCATACACTTCAATAGGTCAACTGTTCAATCATATAAAGGAGAATTGTACAATCATTACCATATTGATTTTAAAACATTCCCCCTGATACACCCCATGGTGAAATTGCCTTTAAAATGAGTTGTGCAATCACAATTGTGGTACTCCCTTCCCCCTCCCATCTTCATTTCCCACTCCTGAAATCCCCCATCCCGCCCTGTCCTGTCCAGCGGGAGCAGCAACGCTGGTCCTGGATAGAGGGAGCGGGACGCAAAGAATGGAGACGAGACGGCAGGCTGGGCAGCTCTTTGTTCTCTTTATTTCTCTCTCTTCTCTCTTAGTTCTCTTTCTCAGTTATTTATTCAACAACAAACCGCAGCCTATATAGGCAAAAAGGAAGGGAGTGCCCGCGGGACATGCAAATCAGGCTACTACTGATAACGCCCAATCAGAAAGCTTACAAAAGCGTGCCTAGAGCCAGTGGTCAGCGGGAATGCCATCACCTTATGCTAATTAGGTGAAACAGCACCTGTGCTAACAGGGTGTTTGTTAGCCAATAAGGGAAACGGAAAGTCTCCATCCCGGCCTGAGGCCTGAGGCTGAGAGTAAAGCCTGTTTATGAGATCTTGGCTGTTGGGGCCCATGGTCCCCGACACCTCCCTGGTCCCCCTCCCTACCCCTGTATCCCCTATCAACCCCTGTATCAGTTATTATCACTATGCACCCACTCCTGTGGGTCACAGACTGAGAAAAACAACCAAAACAATAAAAGCCAAATTCAAAATAGGTGATAAGGATAACAATAATATAAAGACCAAAATACAAATAATGAGAAAGGACACCTGTCAACATTTCAACAGCCAGGGAAGACATTTCTGTCATAGAAGAAGTAAGAGACACTTGCTCCCAGAACCAACTCACGTCAGGTCTATAGGGAGGTCATTTGGTCAAATATCAAGTTCAATTCAGCATATTCAGAGTTACAATGCTCTCTGCCTGACAGCAAAGCTGTTCGAGATTCGGCTGTTGCTAGAGTGGATCTGCCAGGGGTTCAGTCTGACTAGATGCTCTGCAGATGGGTTTTGGGCTCCCACTGTCCTCCATAACCTTCTACATATTGGGTGTTCATAATTTTAGCTCTGATACTTTGCCCTTCACCATATTTGAATTATTTAATTGTCAT